CAATTAGAGACGTATAATATTTATTTACCATGTCTGGAATTTAAAATTACCGTCGTATTTATTCAATTTATACGTTTGCCTTCGCTGTAAACCGCCGTCTTAATTTTTATTGCTTTTTAAGGTTTTTTTTTTTTTTTTTGTATTTTGGTAGCCTACGACGGTAGATCAACAAAATGACAAGAACTGAGAAAAATCACGGCGGTTTATATAGAAAACCATCGTCACATGAAAATTAAAATGAGATCCCAAGAGGAATGAAATCTTACCATTGAGATCTTTGGATCCTGATCATAATCGAACCACCAAAGTGAGATAGACAATATTTTAAATACATAAAATCCAAAACGAAACTAGAACTGAACTGACGACGGCAAACTTTGAGAAAGGCAATGTTTTGAAAGTTAATGATGTGTGCTTTTTGGTGTCTTTGAGATACACCAAAACGCATACATCATTAACATCCAAATTATTGCCCCTAACCACGTCGGTTTGTTCAATTAGCGACGTATAATATTTATTTACCACGTCCTGAAGTTCAAATTACTGTCGTATTTATTCGATTTATACATCTGCCATCTCTGTAAACCGCCGTCTTAATTTTTTTTACGCTCCAACACTTTGCTAATATCTTTCTTAATATCTTTTGAAGTACTATAAGACATTTCAAACCTTCATTAAAGAGAAAAGAAAAATCAATTAGATAAAAATTAAACAACTAAACAAGGAAATAAGGAAATACAAATAAAGGAAACTGAGATTCAGGGCTTGGTTTTGCAGAAGGAAAATCATCAAACATACAGGACTGAGAACACTACCACGTATCTCTTATTTTTATTGCTTCCAAGAAAAATAACGACGGTTTTCAACCGTCGTCACATGGAAATTAAAATGAGATCCCAAGAGGTATGAAATCTTACCAGTGAGATCTTTGGATCCTGATCTTACCAAAGTGATGTCGGAAGGAGTCGTTGAAATGGTTTATAGTGGACACTTTAGCTTCTATCCATTTGAAATCTGAAATGTATAAGAAACTAAAGTGACTCTTCATATTTCAAATGGATAAGAAGCTAAAGTGTCCACATTTGTCTTTTAGATACACAAACGCGATCACACATCAACATCATGATGTGAGACAGAGCCAAGGGCAAGAAGAAGTTGGAACCCTAATTGAAAACTGAAAGTTAAAAAACACGTGAAAAAAATCATATTTATACAAATTATCTTCAATATCCATGTCGGTTCTATTACATGTAGCAACGTCAAATTGAAATAATAGACGTCGGTTGGTAATAATTGGAGCCCTATAAATATAAATAACCACGTCATTTTCGTAAACAAAGGCCAACGACTTTTAAAACCAACAACTTCGGTTATACATAAAATGATGCCGTGATAACATGTAATACCACTTCTTCCAAAGTAAACTTTTGTCGTGTATTTGCCTAGAGAATGACGTCGTTTTCGGAAAACCAAAAAAGTCGTTGACTTTTAATTAACCACAACGGTCTACTAAAACAAAGTTTCATTGAATTTAAGTAACCACGTTTGTTTCCTAAAAGGAATGGTCGTTGAATTTCGGAATACAACGACGGTTTAGATAAACAAGTGCCGTGATAACATATAATATCAGGGCATCAAAAGTAAACTTCTGTCGTGTAAAACTTAAATAACCACGTCGGTTTCGGAATTCCAAAATTCATTTGGCTTTATTAATAACCACGTCGGTTCCTACTTATTGTACGTCGTTATAACTACATACTAGGGCGGTTTTTAATAAAACCATCATGGTATTTAACTATGGGAAAGAACGAGTCTGGAAACAAGACTTCATCAAAATGATGAAATCTTTCACTGGTTTGATTAAATTCATTGGTCCATTACTCTCACGACGCATGAAGACGACAGTTCTCTCTTGTTTGCGACGTTAGAATTGACACACCACAACTGTAGTTAAATCCGACCTAATGCAAACTGCACGATGGTGGTTAATAACCGTCATGGTGTGACAATTAATACGTTGAAAACAAGATAAAACCGTCGTCTCATGGGAGAAAGAACTCTGCGTTTTTCCTGTATCACCTCTCAATAAGACGACGGTTGTCTTTTGCGTTGGACGTTTTAATGTGTAATCCACGTACGTCGGGTTTTAGACTTTATAACCGATGTGGTGTATAAATTAATACGTCATGAACGAGATAAAACCGTCGTCCTATTGTCATACCATGGTATGAGAGAACTGTTTAATAAGACGTCGGTGTTTTCTTGGTACCCTCGTGGTATTTTTTGTACAACGACGGTGTTGTTTTACAACCGTCTCCTAAATTTAATATCACGACCGTCTTTTGTCTGACATCTTTTATTTATTATTACACCGATCTGTCTAATTAACCATCGTTGTTTTTCTTGCAGATTAATTAAAAATGGTTTCGAAATCTCAAAGCAAGGAAGCTCAAGTGTCAAAAGGTCCTAGCAAGGACGTTGTTGCAGTTTCAAAGGCTCAAATGGATGAAGCCAAATCAGTTCAAAGCAAACCCGTGAAGAGGATGGGATTTTCTTCAACCTCTGAGAAAGACCCGAGCTCTGCCACATTTGTTGAGGAGCCAAAATCGACTCGCGGTATCAACACAATGAGCCGTGTTGTGAAGAGGAAAATTCAGAAGATTAAGCCTGTGGTTGAGTTCAATAAAAGGCCGACCACATGGGAAGGCTGCTGTTGAGATGTAGTCTTACATTGGTGTTTTGGCACGCACCAGAGTCCCACTTGTGGACAAGAAATGGACTCAATTGCCCAAGGACCTGAAGGAGCAGATTTGGGAAGCTGTTCAAATGGCTTATGTTGTTGGGGAAGGGTGCAAGAAGATGGTGCTGTTGTCTACCACCAAAAAATGGAAGGATTTGAAGTATACCTTAACTAGGTAGTATATTCTTCCATTCGTAAATGACAAGGAGAAGTTAAAAGAACCCCCTTAGCTTTATAAGTTCATAGAGAAATCGCAACGGGATGCCTTTGTAGCTTCAAGGTTATCCCCAGATTTTGAGGCTGGGCATTCTGGGCAGAAACAGAGAAGGGAAAAATGCATGTACAACCATAGGTTGTCTAGAAAAGGGTATGTTGGTTTGGAGGACTAATTGGAAAAAACCATGCCCGGTGAAGAAATCGATCGATCTCTGCTATGGAAGAAGGCAAGAGAAGATAAAACGGGAAACATCCCTAATCCAAAGGTTGCAGAGAAGGCAAAATTAATCGTAAGTCTCACTAACTCTGTTCTAAATTTGAAAAACATAGTGTTTTATTTTTGTATAGACGTCACATGTTTAAATAGTGAGAAATGCTTACCTTTTGCGTGCAATGAAAGTTTTCTCTCGGATTTTGGTGTTTCAGTTCAGAGACGAAGACGAAGAGGAGAGAAAGACGATGAGATACAGACACAGCGCTTTGAAAAGGAAAAATGAGAGAAGCTTGAAATTTTTTCTTGGGTTTGGAAATAGTGCAAGTGTAGGTCAAGTAGGCGAAAGTTTAAAATATTAACATACCGTTTCATAACATGATGCTATTAATAGAAACCCGCCTAGTATGTAACATTATACGGCGCTATAGGTTGTAACCGCCCTAGTACAATGGTTTCAACGACCCATAGTTTTCCGAAAATGCCGTGTTTATGTCTAATTACATGACGATTTTTTCTTCCAAAAAGATGTATCCCTTCTTTTTCAAATTTACACAACGACCTTATACTCAATAATAACGACGTTAAAGATCTTATAGAACGTCGTTTTAATTACACAAACCGACGTGTAACCTTTTATAATTACACAAGAAATTAGTTTTTCAAAAAAATGACAATGTCAGTTTTTTATATACCGTCGTTGTTAATTAGATTTATACGACCTCATTTTAGTGTTAACTGACGTCTATGTTTTCAGTTAGACGTTGCTAGTTTTAATAGAACCGACGTGGTAGAAAAGATTATTTTATAAATAGGGGTTTTTCAGGCGTTTTTTCGCTTTCATTTTTCAATTAGGGTTTCAACTTCTTCTTGCCCTTGTCTTTGTCACACCTCTCGCTACTTTTCAGATGTTGATGTGTGCGCGCGTTTGTGTATCTGAAAGACACAAACACGCACACATCATCAACTTCTAAAAAATTGTCTTTCTGAAAGCAAATGTCTTGGCTGCCGTCGTCAAATTTTAGAGGCAAGTTTTTTGGATTTTGATGTGTGTGCGCTTTTGTGTATTTGAAAGACACAAAAACGCACACATCTTCAACTTCTAAAAAATTGTATTTCTGAAAGCAAATGTCTTGGCTGCCGTCAGGCACGAACCTTAGTGTATTGGTAACTGGGCTATAGCCCAGGGGGCTTTTAACTTTTTACAGCCCAAATTATATTTTTAGCCCACCCAAGCCCACTCACACAGCAGCAATGTATCCCTTCACTTCACGAATTAGCTCTGGCACTAGGTGCACTTCAAAAGCAAAAAGACTAAGAAGAAAAAACAAGTTAACAACGAGCTGACCAGATATTTGGGTTGGGCTGCTACCAGGTTCTACTCCTCTCCTCTCCTCTCCTAAAGGTTTAACTAAAGGTTTATTTTTCTAATTTTATTGTTTGTCTTTGTCTTCTGTTCTGTGTTGTTGATGATGTTGTTTGCTTTGGTTGGCTGTTTTGGTTGTCTTGTTCTGGTTGTTTTGCTGCTTCGTTGGCATGTTTTGGTTGTTTGCCCTATTTGCTCCTGGTTGTTTGCTTCTTTGTTGTTTTCTTCATATTCTTTTCTTCCCCCAATTTGTTGTAATTGAAATTTGGGGATTTCGTTGGGGATTATATGAATGATGAATTATTAATCAGGGATTAGGTGAATTAATTAATTGCTAACATGTTGTCTTCTATATATTCTTTAATAGGTTATATATTTAAAATGCTTGGTCAACATCAAAATCCTAAGAGATTAAAGACTCTTCGGGATTTTTTTAAGAGGAATGTTAATGAATCGTCAACTAGCATATGCCTCCTCCATCTCCTCCAATTTGTGAGGAACAACCTCATTTAGAACCTCAGAGAGTTGAGTCTGAAAATGTAATAGTCGATTCTCAAAGACAAGAATTTGATACTAATTCTCTTGAGCGTGATCCGGGATTACGTCCTCAAATTGACACATTTCTACCCAATGAACGTGATAATGTTCGAAGAGCATATATTATGTTAGGTCCATGTCAACCAAAATTAGATGAATATCCATCACACTTCGAAGGGAATCAAATGCGTCGATTTAATGGTAGTTGGTATAAGCAATTCCCTTGGCTTGAGTATTCGGTTCATTATGATAAAGCATTTTGCTTTCCATGCTTTCTTTTTAATATTGATCGCTCACATAAGGCATTCACTCAAGATGGGTTTAGAAGTTGGAAACGAATTGGTGGAAAAGATTGTGTTTTCCATACTCATGTAGGCATTATAAATTCACCACATCATTTTGCTATGCAAAAGTGGATGGATTTAAAAAACCCGAGTCACCATATTGACAAAGTAGTTCAACCCCCACATGAAGTTACAAAAAATCGGTTGAGGCTTACAACCACAATAGAGGGCATTAGATATCTAGCAAATCAAGGAATGACTTTTAGAGGTGACGATGAATCTTGTGACTCATTTAATCGTGGTAATTTCATTGAGTTGATAAAAGCTTTTGCAAGAATGAACGAAGAAGTTGAAAAAGTTGTGTTAAAGAATGCTCCCTTCAATGCCCAATATATTTCACATAAGATACAAAAGGAGATCCTAAATATCTTTGCTAACAAAGTGAGGAAGATGATACGCGATGAAATTGGGGAAGATGGGAATTTTTGTATTCTCATTGATGAAGCACTTGACGACTCTAAGAAGGAACAAATGGCTATTATCCTAAGGTTTGTGGGTCGTGATGGGCATATTCGAGAAAGGTTTTTTGATATTGTGAGTGTTCATGACACTAACTCCTTAACTCTTAAAACTGATATTTGTAAAGTGCTTGGTAAGCATAGTCTTTTAGTGAGTAATATGCGTGATCAAGGATATGATGGTGCTAGCAATATGCGTGGTCAATGGAGTGGCTTACAAGCATTATTTCTTAATGATTGTCCATATGCATATTATATACATTGCTTTGCTCATCGCCTCCAATTAGCTTTAAATGTTGCAGCTAAAGAGATAGGACTTGTTTGGAGATTTTTTTCAATGTTAAATAATATTGTGAACTTTGTTTGTGCTTCTGCCGAACGCCATTCTGAGTTAAAATTAAGTCGTCAAGATGAAATTGAAGACTTACTGGCAGCTGGAAGACTTGGAACAGGTAAAGGGGCTAACCAAATTCGTTGTTTGCAACGACCTGGAAGTACTCGTTGGGGCTCACATTTTAGATCTATTAGGAGTTTGATTGATTTATTTGGTGCCACCAAGACACTTCTTAATGATATCAGTCATCATGGTCCTACCTCACAATTTCGTGGGGAAGCAGAAGGTATGAAAATTTCTATGTTATCTTTTGACTTTGCTTTTGCCTTGAATTTGTTGGACAAAACAATGAGATTCACTGATTTTCTTTGTCAAGAACTTCAAAGAAAATCTCAAAACATTGTGAGTGCTTTGAATTTGGTTGCAAGTACAAAAATGGAGCTTGTTGAATTGAGAAATAATGGTTGGGATGATTTTATACATAGTGTGCAATCATTTTGTGAAACACATGACATTTGTATGCCTGATATGGGTGCCCATCATACAATGGGCACTCGTCGTTCTTGTCAACAAAAGGATTGCATAACATTTGAGCATTATTATCATATTGATGTATTTAATGAGGTAATAGATTATCAATTGGGGGAGTTAAATACTCAATTTCCAGATGGAACTGTGGAACTCCTTTGTCTTAGCTCAGCATTGGATCCTTGTGATGCTTTCAAGCGATTTAACATTGGTGATATATGCACTCTTGCTGAAAAATTTTATCCTCAAGATTTCAGTACAACTGAGTTGCAAGCTTTACATCAACAATTGGGATTTTATAAGATTGATATGGGTCGCATTCCAGCCTTCAAGAATCTTGATTCCATTCCTATATTACTTCAATGCTTAAGTGAAACAGGATTAGCACAAACATATTACTTAATTGATAGATTGATTCGTTTGGTGCTAACTCTTCCAGTTTCTACAGCAAC